GTTAGTCCACCTCTCTGTTTGTGTCTGCTTTTGTTTTATTAAACATATTTGACAATGATCACGTCTTAACAATGTACCTCGAAGGCAATAGTTTGCATTTTTGCCAGAGAATAAGTCCTTACTCTAATATATTGTGTACCGCTGCAGGTAAGCGCTGCAGCCGACAGAGAGAGGCTTTGTGAGCTGGCTGCCTGGCCTGCGGATGGAGCGATGGGGGGAGGGATGGATGGATGGAGTTCAGGGGGAGGTTGGCCACAGAGCTTCAGTTGTGGAATTCCAGGAATGGAAGTTGAACTGGATTTTTGGATCTGAGCGAGGGAATTGAATGCAGAGGTGATAGAGCACGGCGGAGGCAGAGTGGGAGGAGAGGTCACGTGTCTGAGTGTGTCAGGCTCAGTGAAGCAGCAGGAGCGCTTGTATTGTGTGTGAGCACGGAGGGCCGGTAATGAGGCGTAGCTCTTAAAACTACCACACTGCCAGCCTAAACCTCTCATTGGTCATCCCAACCGAGCTGCACAGGATGTGACACACGCACGCCCAGGTCTGAGTCATCCTATAGATGTGTTTTTATATATAGAGGATGAGGAAAACATACATAGCTGCATGCATGCTCTGATACACAGGAGAGGATCATCATCATCATCAGACATGTGTTTATGGCTTTTTATATGTTGTTATGTCTGGTGTGTGTGTGAGACTGTGTCGTCTCCAGCTGTAGCCTACAGCATACATGCCCTGTAATTAACATGCTGTTTTGTGCCAGATGCTATATCTGTTATTGAGAGAGGCACATGTGGTTTCTTTTGTGGCACAGCGGAGGATCTATATAGAGAAGAGAGGGAGAGTGTGTGTGTGCATTTGTGTGTGTGAGATGTATTGACCTTTTTTTTACGTCTGCTTTTGATCCTAACATACATTTACGTCTGCTTTGTAAGTGCGGTTTTTTTTGGAGTGAAAGCAATCTGTGTCATCAGAAATGGATTAAGAAGGTTTGTCGAATCCCGACGTCAGTTTTTATCAGCGCAAGAAGAAGAATATTCATGAAAGGTCTTCAAAACAAGATGTGAAAGTGCTCAGGTTAAGTTGTCTGAACGCTGCATTAAATGAACCGCAGTCGATTTCAAGGCCAGCTGTGGACATACAGTAGCATAATCGTATAAAATGTTCCCCTCAGAATCGAATTCTCTCTCTTTAAACTGACAAGTGGAACAGTGGCTGTATAAAGGTCCCGCTCCCACTTTGGTCCAGAAACCGTTGTGCAGTGGAAACAGTGAGGGTGTCTGGCAGGGTGTGGCTGCCTTTGGACTGAGCCGGGTCCACTTCTTCTGGTCTCTGGAAGTTAACAGGAGCAGAGGAAAACTGGAGCCTGGCCATGCCGTACTCCAACGGCTGCATCCACAGTGAGACTAAATACAGTTGTCGCTCTTCACAGCGGTTTGCGCGCAGTTTGAATATGACAACAGAACAGCAGCTGCTTAAAATCAAATAGCTTTTTTGATCTTGTTAACATGTCCATGTAGAGCTTTTTAAAAACTAAAAGATGCATCATGAGTGACATAATTAGTCAGTGTTTCCACCTTAAAACTACAGTGAACCGATGACAGTCTCCAAAGCACAGATTTAGACTTCTGCACTTTCATCTGTAACAAATTAAAGAAGCCAGTCCTAAAGGGCTTTTCTGTAATTCTTCTTCTTCTTCCAATATTCCAGCTTACATTGTGTACTTTTAGGAGTTTTACAGAGTTTAAGCAAGAATCATAGATGATAGAATCATAATCATACATGTACAAACACAACCAACATTTAAATACAAACATACATGCATTTTAAAAATCATTAAACAAAGATACAACCAAACCTCAAAGCCTTCAGCTGGCCAGCTTTTGTTTCTTTGTTATTGTCCCTACAGGCTTTCATCACTCGCTGTGGTTGGTATGATTGTGAAACAAGAATCAAACTGCATTTTAAGTGGTATAAAAATAGTCTCAAGAAGTTGTTAAAGTGACTTGTTGAAGCCTGTTGTTGCTGTACAAGAGGGAGCCAACACTTGGTTTTAGATCTGAATGACTTTTTAGTTTGAAATTAAATTTGTTGAAAGATGTAAAGAACACGATGCTGAAAGTCATTAAACAGTAACTGAATTATCACCAGGAGAGAGCGAGCACAGTACAGATGTGGTGAGTCAATTTATGTGTTCGTACATCATCTCTCTCTGCTTCAGTGCGATACACACAACACCGAGAGCAGAATAAGACAAAACAGCACCGTTAATCTGCCACCAGACTGAATATAAGACAGCGTGTGTTTAGCTACTTTCCATTTCGGTCTGACAGTTATTAGAGATATTAGCTCCACCTGTGTGCTGCCTTCATAAGTCAAACAGCAGCTGTGTGATTGGTGGAGTGTATCTTCTTATCTGGTTAAGCCGTGAATCTGACAGTGAAGCTTTGTTTTTTCTGTAGTATATTTACTCTAAAATATATATATCTTCTCCTCGTAGTCTTATTCTACTCGGTGTGTCAGTCCAGTCTCCTCTAAACTGGGCTGACACACTCTTAGAAGTTGCCTCTAATCTGGTCTAAGCCGTACGTGTATACGTGCTCCAGCATTCTAACCGTGGTGGTTACTACACAGAAAATTTCCATCGGCATTCCTGCATATTTTCCTTCAGAACGCTTCTGAGGTTTGAGAGAGTTTCCTCAGAAGACACTGGTTTCTCTGCTGCTTCCGCCACTTTGAGCTGAGGAATTTCAGAGGAATGCTGCTCATAAAGTCATCTCACTCTCTCTTTGATTCCCACATGTTTTTTTTTTCTTTATCCTTGTGTATGTGCTCATGTAGTGTGTGCCAGCATCTGTCTCTTTGTGTGTGTGTGTACCTGTGTTAAAGCTGTGTGACCTTTTGGTGTTGCCGGAGCTTTAACACACTCCTGCCAGGTTCCACATGATCCGCTCTGATCTTAGCACACAAAGAGCTGGTTGTAGCTTTATAGATGTGACACCTCATCATCATTATGTAACTGGTTAAAGGTGCTACATGCTGCACTTGGACAGCCATTAACGTGCCTCATCAATTCTGAGACGCAAGTGCAAATGTTGTAAATAAATGAAGACCTGGCAGCCTTTTCTTGGCACTGGACATTTTATCGTGAATGTTAAAATTACCGTCTTTTATAGGTAATGCCACAGTTTCTGCATTTCATAGTAAGGTACATTTATGGGATTGCGTTTTATAATAATGCTTGGCACTTTGATCTTCTAGCATGAAAAAAGCTAATAGTTTCAGTGCTTTTCAATAAAGACATTCATTGGACTGACTTAAGCTTCTGTTGACATGCAGTAAATCCTGCGATGTCTTGCAGTGTGAAGTGAGAGACCTAAAGGTAGAGGAGGGTGTTGCTAATCAGTAAATCAGTAGAATCTCAACACCAATAGCTACACTTTCAGAACTTTTTGTAATAGTTTTCCATTAACTCTCTGAACCCCCCAAAACCTGCCATTAAAGGCATGTTTATTGTGAAATATCGCCAAAGTGACATTTATCAGACACATTTTTCAGAGCCAGAAACTGTAAAAACAGAGCAAATCATCGTATTTTCAACTTTCTGCTGGCACATGGACTGATCTTATGTGATGTACAGTTCTGGAAGAAATATTAATCAAAAATGCTCTTAAAATCCAGCCACGGATTACTCAACTGTGACTGACCGACAGTCACATGAATGTTTGGGTGAACTGCAGGCTGTGCCAGATGCCTTCTAATAATTTAGAAATTCCAGCACGAGAGATTAACGGGAAAATAAAACATACTAGATGCAGCATGGCACAGAAACGATATGCAGTGAAGCAAGTTGTTGGAGGATACGTTTAGCACAGTGAAAAATCTTTCTAGATTTGATGTGCAGAGAGGTGTGTAAAAAGCTTAATCAATATTCCAATAAACATCTGTAGCCACTTGTTAAGTAACAATGACATTTATATAGATCCGTTTTTTTTTTTTATTCAATTTTTGTTCAACAAATCATCAAAGATTTAGTATCAGAGTTGTGTCATGCTGCACAAAAGATAGATATCAGTTCTCTCTACTTCTAGCCATGGATGTGCTGTTTGCAAACAGGTGCAGGACATGTAGTGAAAATGGGACACTAGCAAAACATACCCAGAAACTGTTTGAGAGGGTTAAAGCTCAATAGCAGATAGTAAATTACGGTATCAAACAGTTAACAAAATAACCTAAATAAAATACCACAAATCTACTTAAAATGTAATAAATGATTGGAGGTCATTTAAATTTGGAAAAACAAAAACAAATCTAACTTAACATAATGGAGAAATGCAAGATACAGAAAACAAATGAACAGATGCCATTTGACATTTTAGAAAATGTTGAATGCAGATTATTGTACAAATATTTTTTTGTGAATATTTGTGGTTGTAGACTTTGCTGTGAGATGTAAAGCTGACTACCAACTGAATCTGCTGTTTCCTGGTGTAGCAGCATTATCTAGAGTGGAGTTCACGTTATATCTTTAGCATGCAGGACTTTGATGGATCTATAATTCTGTATATGATTTAATGTATAGTGTACTGAATGACAATTTGTTTCTCTTCCTTATTTTCTAAAGTTAAAGAGACGAGTTGTTATGTTTTGTTTTGTTTGTTGTTGTTGTGTGTATAAGTGAGATTGTGCGTATGTGTGTGGACCCCAGGAAGAATGGCCGATGCTTATGCTGGTGCTAATGGGGATCCTAATAAACAAGATACAAGAAACTTTTTGTATTCATTTGGTGCTGTTGTATTTGACTTAGATATGATATTTCATCTCCATGCAAACATGCTGGTCCAAAATGCTCGAGGGAAGCTAAAGACTAGATTCAGGTTGGATGGAGTAGGTAACATGGTAACATAAGAAGGCCAGTAAGATATTAAGAGGATCACAACAAAAGTGTTCTCAAGAATAAAGACACAAATATAACAAATGAACAAATTTTGTGTTCACAGATTCAGCAACTGGAGACGCAGGTGATCGATGCAGAAAAACGGGCCTTCACTGCTCACCAGCAGGTACGGTCCTAAAATAAAGTATGTTCAGATGTACTCTGCGTGTGTGTGGCCACAAGTGAACATATTTATCTGTGTGCATGTGCGATGGTTTCAGGTGCAGTGGATGGAGGAGAAGCTCAAGGCTCCAGATGGTCAGTCCGGAGACTCAGAGGTGCGCTTGTTTCAACAGTGCCAGGAGCTGCAGGCCTTAGTGCAGGAGAAGGAGGACGTCATCGCCCAGCTGGAGCAGCAGCTGGAGGAGCAGGTAAAGCACATACACGCAAAGAATTTCAACAGATGTGATGCCAGTGGAGTTTTTTTTTTTTCTTTTTTCTTTTTTCCAGTGCAAAATAATGAAGACAAAGATGTGGCACGCACTTAGTTTTCACAAACACAGATGGAGAGCAGAAGTGAAATTGAAAAACACAAACTGTCAGCCCACTACGGACAAAGACATTAAAGTTACTTCTAGGCTCAGCACTACTAATATTCATAATCCAGTTTTTTGTTTTGTGCCACTGACATCCTTGTAAACACGTCTCCAGTGTTTTTAACCTTATTCTTCGTTTCAGTTTTACGGCACTGTTCCATGAAATGACGTCGACTGTCCTCATGGAAATACAGTCACTTCTATCCTCAATATCTCTCCAGCTGCTTTGTGTGTCCCAATACATCTATAGCTGCCTCTATAAACCCAGAGTGACAGATGACTTAAATTTGCATGTTTTTAAATCTATTATTTTATTATTTTTAACTAGAAACAGATCCGACTTCAAGATGCTAAAACAGTGGAGGAGAAAGCAGCTAAGATCAAGGAATGGGTGATGCTGAAGTTGTCAGAGGTAAGTATATTTCATTATTGGATATAAATGTACCAAAACAATTTGAATGAACTGAAAAGAGCGTATGTGGAAACTGTAAGGTTAGTTCAAATAACTAATATGTAACCGATGTGTGGATCAAATAGTTTTTTTTATGTGAAATGTGATTGTGGTTCAGTTTGAGGTTGAGAATGCAGCATTAAGAGAAACCAACAAGCAACAAGAAGCTCAGATTTTGGAGCTACAGAAACAAGTACAAGGTAAGAACTTATATGTCCTGAGTTACCCATCTTTGTTTGTACGCAGTTTACATTGATAAAAGCTTCCATGAGCGAGGTAAAGTAAATGGCAACAACTGATATGTACTCATGCGCACTGTTCAAACTTGTGTGTTTGCAGCCTTTGAGCAGAAGTGCGGTGGTGGACGAGGAGTCCTGTGCAGACCAGGGGAGGCCCAGCGTCTCAGCAGCCTCACGTTTGGCTGTTTCCAAGTGAGGGGGAAAAACCCCCAGGTCCTTACTGGACCAGCACCATCCCAGAGGACCCTCAGCACCCAGGGAGAGACTGAGGGCAGAGACAAAACTGGTAAGTCCCCACAAAGTCACAGCAATGAATAATGGAAACAGCTTCTGTGAGTCTGCATATTTCTGGGTTAAATGGGATGCAGAGGCAGAGCTGGACAAAGGAAAGCACATGGTGAGGTCATACCCAGGGTGTGTTTTTCCACTGAAGTATTGTAAAAATGTTTGACTTAAGGGTGAAATTAGAGCGAGAACGAAATGTGTGATGGGTTGTGATAAACTATACACACAATAACATCAGTAGAATAGAATAGCTGTTTTGATTTGGGAAATTATATTCTTATATTCTATCTCTGCAAAGGTATCTAATGTGTTACTGCCGTTTGCATGAGGACCAAGCTGAGCCCTCTGGTATGCTGGTGATACTCAGCTAACATCAGCATATTCATATGCTCCCCTTGACAATGCTAACATGCATTCAGCAAAAATAATATTTACAGTGTTCATCATATTGGTTTAATGTGTTAGAAAGCTAGCCATTGCTAATTACCAATAAACAAAGTGCAGCAGAGGCTGCAGATGAAGTAAAATGTGTCATGGTGGTGCTATTATGAACTCTTAGGGGTTAGCTGCCATCATAAGAGCCACAATGTGAGCCAGTAAACAAAATTGCTGCTTATATCAGAGCACTGAAATGAAACCAAAGACTCAGTTTAGTCACTTATATGAAGTAGAAACTAACTGTATGTTCTTCATGTCGTTCATGTCTTTCAGCTGACTGGCATAAAATGAAGTTTGACTTTGCTTTGGGAATCTTAGTTTGCTGCATAGCTCTGCTCAAATGTGAATTAAATTGAAGTAGAACTATATATGTTTCTAAGTGGCATTTTACTCAAGAAAGCAATTCTTTTACATCATCACTGTGAAATGAAACAGTTATTGCTGAATGAGTTTCAAGCCCCACACAGACTTTACACAATTCCCATAGAACTCCAATGATGTGATGCAGCTAACAAATATCATCTGTGTTCATGTTTGTTTTGGCAGAGAAGAGTAGCAAGCAGACAGCCTCCTCGGGGATAGACGGTGAAGTCCACAGACCAAACCAAACTGGACTTGTGTGTTCTCCACTGGAGGACAACAGTGCGTCTGAGAACCCTGGTGAGAATGATTGTGGACCAGAGTCTCGCGGGGTCTCGTCTGTGCTCTCCAGTGCTGCATCAGAGGGCGAGGGAGGCAGAGGGGCAGTGTGTGGCCTGGAGTTCAGCCGGCCCGGCAGCGAGACCTACCTGACTGCTTCAGACGACAGCAGCTCTCTGTTTGACGATGACATGCAGCGAGCCGAGCGTCTCGGCTTTAGCCTGCTGGAGTCATCAGATGGAGCGCTAGCAGGGTGTAAGGAGGGGGAGGAGGAGGGACACAGGGCTAAGCTGGAGGACTGCAGCTCCGAGGAGCTCAACAAACGATTCCAGTCTCAGAGACTTGACTCCTCGTCCTCCTCCAGTGAGCCTAACACCCCCAGCCCCATCCTCACACCAGCCCTCACCCCTAAAAGGCCCAACCCACCCCAGGACCCAAGGGACAACCCCGCCTCACCCAAACAGCCCCGCCTGAGGACCCCAGCAGGGTTCGGGCTGATGAACGTGTCTCTGGCCAAGAAGCACCTGAGCCAGCCACCAATCAGCAGTGAGGCTGCACACGGCCAAACACGTAACGCCCTGAGCATGCTGCGCCCCCTCCGGCCTCAGGAAACCGACCTCGACCAGCAGCAGGAAGTTGGCATGGAGACGGGCAGGGACACACCTCCGCAAATCCTTCCCAGCTCACAAACCACCATGCCGTCCTTACAGACCTCATCTGAACCCGGGACAGAGTTGAGCTCAGAGAGGTCCGACTGTGACGGCTCAGTACCTGGCAACAAACCTCCAACTCCGCCTCTACACAGACTCCCCTCCTGGGTAAGACTGTAAAGGTTCACTGATTGTAGGTTATTTTAAAAAAATAAGGCTGCTGATAGTCTCTATCCTGACAAAGCAACAGTCAACTGCTGCTAACATGTATTGTGTGTGCCAAAGCCTGATACATCTTATTCATTGCCATAGTCCACAGCCTGTTAAATATGCATGAGCCAATCTGCACTGAAAGACATGTTGCCTCATTACAATAAATCAGGGCACTTACATAAGTCTGCTCTTGGTTTTTTCATTATTTAAGGTAAGTATCAGTAAAAATGTCATGTTGCCAAAAGTCAATATTTTGTTTCTTGTAGAGGTTTAAGCCTCTAACAATCGAGGTCTTTATTTTTGCTAATTTACTAGATTAATCACCTTAAAAAAAACTTTAAAAACCATATCTAAGATAAGTGATGAGGCTCACGAAACAGCACTTTAGACCGTCATGAAACTTTAATGATCATTTAAAAACATTAAAGACAATAAATATTTTAGCAACATGTTTTCTTCTACAAATAAATGACTACATCACATCCTAAATTTGTATTTGTGTTGCTCACACTGCCATCTGCTGCTATGGTGCACGTTAAGAGCAATACAGTGTGTGCATGGCAGCAGCACATAGAAAAGAAGATGTATAGTCCAACATCACAACAATCACTGCCAGTTGTGTGCCATTGCATAATATAGCAATCCAATGTTCTTCTTACACAAAGTTATGTTTTTAAAGCAAAACACTGACCGATCATATTGCATTGACTTCACAGGAAAGTCGTATCTATGCTGTGGCTAAATCGGGCATCAGACTGTCTGACTCGTCCTGCACAGACCCTGCTAGCAAAGGTAAGACTACAGAAAAACGCAGGCCGCACTGCTGAGCTCCTCACGCAGCCTCTGCTAGAGAGATTTCCATTTTAATAACCGACTGACTGAAGTGTAATCTGTGTCACAGATCCCTCCCTGCAGTCCTCCTATCCTGCCTTTGTAATGTACACATCCCTCATCTATAAAAACATGACTACACCAGTTTACACTACTCTAAAGGGGGTAAGTACAAGTGCACATAACACACCAACTGCCACATGCACATTCCCTGACTGTGTATTTGATCACCTGCTAACCTATTCAAATCGTGTTTTTTTCTATATTTTCCTGATCTGTAATCATGTCAGTAAAGTTGATTTTAATGTATAGCATATTGGTCTATCTATGACTGTGTGCTAGTAGCGTGCTAACCGCCGTCTCACTTCCATCTTGCAGAAAGCCACTCTGCTGAGCAGCAGTCCGTTCTCAGATGAGTCATCCAGCTCTGAGGAGTCATCCAGTTCGGGAGAGGAGGATGGCTCCCTCTGCAGCTCCCACACCTCCTCTAGCTCCAGGAAGGACAGCAGCCCGGGCAGCCCGCGTTCTCTCAAGAGAGGTACAACATGAGTCTACCAGGAATTTGTTTAGAGCTCCCACAGCAGCGCAAATTAAAGCTGTCCTTGAGCACAGCTGCTCATGTAGTTGGTCAACGTTGCTGCAAATCCACTCGTGTAATGTTGATGATTGATTCTCTGTTTCTTATACATGAGTGTAAGGTCATTGTTCATTTAATTGAATGCTTGTATTATATGTTGAACTATCACATGCATCTGTCCTCCAGCTGTGTCCATGGCTTCGATGACATCAGAGAGTGACTATGCCATCCCTCCCGATGCCTACTCCACTGACACTGAGTGCTCTGAACCTGAGCAGAAACTGCCTAAAACCTGCTGTTCATCCAGTGACAACGGCAAGAGTGTGAGTCACACGTCACTTTCTCTGTTGCACACACACACTGGTCCACATTAGTTTTCTTGCTCCACAATACCATAGATCAGGAGTGTCCAATCCTGGTCCTCGAGGGCCACAGTCCTGCATGTTTTAGATGCTTCCCTCTTCCAACACACCTGATTCAAATGATCAGCTCATCATCAAGCTCTGCAGAAGCCTGATAACAATCCCGATCATTTGAATCAGGCGTGTTGGAAGAAGGAAACATCTAAAACATGCAGGACTGTGGCCCTCGAGGACCAGGATTGGACACCCCTGCCATAGATGGTGAGAGATGACTGTCCAGATCTGTTTTAAAGTCTTTGAGACAAGTTTAGAGTGCAGCTGGAGTCTTTCAGGTTGCTTGATGACGACAACTTCAGACATGGCACTAGATATACTGGATTTACACGTTCATAACTTTGTTACACATCTGACACTTCCTTCAGTTCATTTTGTTGGCAGATAAACATAAAGTAACCTAAGAGCACATTGGCATCGAGTTGTTTTAGCTTAATACGGCCCATTTGCTTCAAAGATTAAGTTTTTCTTGCATTGTACATCGTATTGCGTGAAACCAAATGGTGTCATGTCCTGTAGGAGCCGATGGAGAAGTCAGGCTACTTGTTAAAAATGGTCAAGACCTGGAAGAAAACCTGGAAGAGACGCTGGTTTGTCCTCAAAGATGGAGAGCTGCTCTACTATAAGTCACCAGTAAGTTTTATGCAGCTTTTTTGTTACACGGCAAAATATTATTTTCAATTGTCATATGTTCCTTTATCAGGAAAAATAGTATCATGTTGTTGTACAAAAGTTAGGAGCTTAAAAATACGTTATCTATAGATTTCTATGTAATACCTGAGCTCAGCTGATGCTGGTCTGTGCTGGGGTCCTGCTGTAAATCTTTATCATCCTCCCACAGAGTGATGTGATCAGGAAACCTCAGGGTCAGATCGAGGTCAACGCCACCAGCAGCATTGCCCGAGGTGACGGGAAACAAGTTCTCCAGGTATTCAATTCTAATTTTAAGTTAAGAATTTTGTTCCAAAACTAAACATTTAGCATTAGTTAACAGGTCCACAGTGATAGAAATGAACTCTAGTCACATCTCACTCACTTTACATGGCACAATAAAAATGTAATTCATCCCTACATCTTTGCCTCTGCCTATGTTTGTCATTCTTGTGTGTAGATAGTGACGGGGAAGCGAGTTTACTACCTGAAGGCGGACTCTCCTAACCTGCTCGAGGAGTGGCTGCGGGTGCTACAGAGTGTTCTGAGGGTGAAGGCTGCCAGTCCTCTCTTCACTCAGCCAGATATTCGCCCCGGCATGAAGGGACTGCTCATAAAGGTCCACACAACATGCAGACATGATGTTGAACTTTTGCAAGAGAAGATTTTCGATGCATGATATTGTATTTTTGCCGATATGTGATAAGTCAATATTCTCCAGCTCATTTGGGGCCCTTGGCTGATGCAGTTACTGATGTATGCACATCATTTTTCCAGCTAATGGCAGAGAACATCAGGTCTCTCCTGTCATGGAATTAACATGCCTGTTCTTATTTAATGATCCACTGAGCAGTGCAGACATAAATAAAGCACTGCTTTTCAAATGTACACATTCACTAGATGAGGTAAATAAGAAACCCACTTTAACTTACATGAAAAATATCTAATATTTATTTCAGACAGTTTTAAACAAAACTGTAAACTTTGAGCCTGACAGAAGTTATTCAGCTGAAATGGCTCATTTTGGACCAATACTTCATTTTAAAGCCTTTATCAGCCAATAGCAATGATGAATCTAATATTGTCGTGCATTCCTAGTAAATTTACAGACTTTTCAAAAACCTATGAAGGTAGTTTTATGTGCAATGACGATTTTCACAGTGTTGTTCTTTCTCATAAATTCACCACATTTCCTGTTTCCTCCTGCGGTTACCGAAATTTGCACTTTCTCCGTTGCAGGTGAAGCACGGCTACTCTAAGCGGGTTTGGTGTGCTCTGATTGGGAAAACATTGTACTACTTCCGCAGCCAAGAGGATAAGGTGTGCTTTAGCATCATTCAACACAATTCTACCCAAATAGAAATAAGTATTGTCATAGTAAATGTAATGCACTTGATAAGTGATAGTTTTTTTTATTCTTCACCTGAACAATTTATTATACTTTAGCTGTAAACTTTGTATCTGAGTGTGTTCAGTCTGCCTGTCCATGTTTCCAGTTCCCACTGGGTCAGATTAAGCTGTGGGAGGCCCGGGTGGAGGAGGTGGACAGGTCCAGAGACTCAGATGATGACCTGAAGGCGTGTGGGCGGGGCTTACAGGTGGCACCCTTCACCATCGCCATCCACCCACAGGAGCAGGGGCCCACCTACCTGCTCATTGAATCCCGTCACGAAAAGGTCATTCTGAAAGCTCATGTTTATGGTTTTTTGGTCTTGGTTGCAATTTTTATCCCCTGTGATTCTAAGAGACTAGCAGTCAGGACAGTGATAAGTTACTGATTTATTTTCTATAGACAAAGTTTGAGTTTGTGTATGTTGTGTGTGTGACGTTGTTGATCCAAAAGTGTTCCTTTTCATGTTCCTGTATATTAGTGTATGTGAACTTTAAAGTGAAGATTGATCTGTTCTCTAACTGAAAACTTGTTGGCTGTTGGCCTCGTGTTTATTTCACATGTCTCTGGTATTCCTTATGTTAACGTGTGCGACTCTATAGGATTCATGGCTGTACCATCTGTCCGTGGCAGCGGGAACCACAGTGGGTAAAGTCGGCACTGAGTTCGAGCAACTGATAGGAAAACTCTTCCAGCTGGATGGAGATCCAAGTGAGTATTTCCCACAAATTAATTTACCTTTTGTTGTATTTTACAGCCCTGTTTTTTCTGTCTTGTCTTGATAATGTCCTTTCACACAGATCATTTTATTGTGAGTTGTAAGACCATTCCTACATCACCAAAAGTATAACAAAACATATACTGACCATTTAGAGTTTGGAGCCTATTTATTATTATTGTTATTTATTTATTTACCCAATTTAGTGCCTAACCGCTTTTTAAAAAGACCCATTTCAAAGTGAATTACAGCCCTAAATCAGATTTCTGTTAAAAAAAAAGGAGAATCACTTGAGTTTCATTCTTGCCCATCAACATCATCAGAAAGCAAAGTTCCCAAGTAGATACTCTTCAAGTACAGTCAGTCAAAGGTTCACAACTGTGAGACCAAAATGAACAACCCTGGGCTCTATGGATCAAAGAAATGTGAAATTTTGAAATACAATGAATCTCAGTGTTTCCATCACTAGGCCGGAGTCTCCGGCAAAAATGAACAGTTTTACTTCTTTCTGATCAAAAACAAGTAAATTACAGTCATACTAAATGAGTCAATGACACTGATGTGAAGAAACCAGAGCAAATTTCATGCAGTACAAATGAAACACAACAATGCTACAGCGATTGTAATCATAATAGTACGACTCTGAACATTTTGTACTTACTTCTAAGTCTCTTTTATGTGCGTTGTTATATTTTATTCTATTGTGTCATTCAGCAGACAGTGCGCTTTATGCCTTTTTCTACTTTTACTGTTCTTCTCGTGTAAAGCCTGTTGTACGCTTTTTTTTTATGACTTGTGCTGTTTATTGCCTGTATCTAGCAGTCTGTCTATCTGCCTTTCAGACTCTCAGATTTGGAGACATCCCGTGTTGTGTTTCAGTAAAGAAGCTCTGTCATCTCCTCTCACCACGCTGCCCTCACAGGCCCTGCAGACAGAAGCTGTTAAACTCTTCAAGGTATAAGCAGAAACACATGCGTGCAGAAATATATGGCACTGATACCTTCTGTTTTACCCAGAAACCTCTATGTGATCAAATAATACTTGTGTAATACCAGTGTCTTTGATAAAATAAGTAATTTGTTGTTCATTTTTGTGCAGTCCTAATTAAGAAGACAACAAAGTCATATAGTAACAGCTGCAGCTCTAATTGTAAACAGTGCATGAATCAGGATATCTCTCTTCCTGCGTCTCTGATTTATTCTCCATCTTCATCCTCTCCTCTCAGACATGTCAGCTTTTCATCAACGTGGCCATCGATGCTCCAGCCATCGACTACCACGTGTCTCTAGCCCAGAGTGCCTTGCAGGTGTGTCTTGCCCACCCTGAGCTTCAGAATGAGTTCTTCTGCCAGCTCTTCAAGCAGACCCGCAAGAGGCAGCCACATGGCCATCCAGGACCACTGCAGGTTTGTTTTACCGCCACAGGGTGGCAGCAGCAGTATATGTTGTTAACTGGATATGCTGACATTTAAAAAGGGAAAGATAGTTTGTCTGAAAGCAAACATTGAATCACTGTCTTAGTAGATACCAAATCTGCATTGAAAAGATCAAATTTGTTTAAAAGCATTTGAGGATACATGTCTGTCATAGCTCTAAGTATACTTGGGAGAATCCTGTCACCCTTATGTTGGCATGATCACCAAAATCTATTGCAGCAGGAGCAGGTCCTTAAAAGTTATTTTCAGAAAACACACTGAAAACGACCAGACAGCCTGTCCACTGTCACCCTGTAGTGCTTTTCCAGTCACCAGATACACCCCTAACACCAGCAGAGGGCAGAAGTAAAAGCTAAATGTTCAGCACTACCTGTTAGTTTCAAAAAAAATATCAAATTTCAGTATGATAATGTCTCATCCAGCTCCAAAACAAGACAATCAGAATGAATCATAACACAATCCTCCCTTGTGAGTTCCTCTATATGCATGAATGAAGTCACTGTTGATGATTAATAGGATCTAAATAGGCCAATTGTTTGATGGTTCCTACTATTTTCAGTCTGTCTCCTGCATTTATGCTTTGATGCTTTGTATACAGATTCTCTGACTCATAAGTGTGACAGTAAAGAATGTGTTGTCTGAGTGTTTCTTTGTCATTCTCAAGGGCTGGCAGTTTCTAGCCTTGTGCGTCGGCCTGTTCTTGCCTCAGCATCCTTTCCTCTGGCTGCTCCAAGTTCACCTCAAAAGACACGGAGACGCCAGGTGAGAAAACATCAGGGGGCTTGAACACTGGCATGGGGAACCTCGGCACAAAATTACACCAGTCAAATGGAAAACAGCGCAAATACACCTGTTACGTGACATAACAAATAATAAAACCGTAAAAAAACAAAAAAAAAATACAAATATCAGCAAGTTTGGGAATGAGTTGTAATAGTTATTTTGTTATGATTTCATATTTTGGGAAAGTGTGTTTTTATCATCATTGCGCTTCACTGATAGCAGCACAGTGATGTACCGATGTGTCACTTTTTAATATTGAATTTAAATGTTCATTCAGTATATTCACTAAGAGCACACTGGTGGTTACATACATGTTGTGCTTCTCAGTTTCCACATAATGCCAACTCTAGCACCTGTAACATTTTTTGTGGTGCATGTGTTTAAATACAATTTAAACAGCAACACTTGCCTCCAGGACATACTGGAGTATAAATCAACTTGATCTCAGGGACAATAGAAGCTAGTCCAGGCCTGTAGTTCACTGTGAGGGGAAAGATGATCTGATATTGCTGCTTAGTTGTGAGACTGTTGATGTTTATTTTAGCTTTTTGGGGTGTTTTAACACAAACCTCTTTGCTTGGTCCTGGTTAACCTGGTTGGTTTGGGCCAGTGAGAAAGCTGCCAGTCGAACCAAACAACTAGAAATAGTCCTACAGGGAGATTCAGTTGATCTGCAACCTGCAGTAATGCATTATTGCAAACAGAAACATGCTCATATGAAACACCAAAGCTTCACTTTTTCGATGCTGGTCCTCACAATTGAGGACGACATCACAAATACAGTCCAGTCAGTGAGTCTGTTGACTCATTAACTGAATATTGAACTCAACAGTTTCAGGTGGATACAAAAGGTCACACACTCGCCCACAGAGCAGGTTCAGGATCATCTGTTCACAACAAAATGCAAATCTCATGCTGAATCACTGGACATGATTTGACTTAACCTAGTTTCTCTTTTCATCATCATGTGAGCATGGTGACACTTTCGTACCCAAAAAAGAGACGCGTGGTCATGTAGTGTTTTTAAGGATTGTAAAACAGTTCAGCTATGAGCATGGTTGTAGCTTAAATAAGAATCTCTGGACGTGTTTAGTTTCTTAATTTGACTAACATGTGTCTTATATTCCCTCTCTGGTCACTGATGTATCCTCACAGACTCATCTCTGTGCATCCAAGTCACATGTTTCTCCCTTAAAATAGCTTAGATGTAACTCTACACAGTCGCTTCCTCTAGAATGTTCAGACTATGAAGTCCCTGCCTCTTTCCCCTCTCATCCTTCCACCGCTTGCTGCAGCTCGAGCACACCAGCTCACCTTCAACTCTGCTCAAACACTGTAAAACTACTCGATGATATACAAGTTGTAATATTAGAGTAATTCAGCCACACATGTTAAAACTGGAAACTGAAGAGGAACAAAAGGCCCCCTGCAAGTCTGAATCTGTGTTTTTTTTACACCGTTATCAGTACATTGTAGTTTCAAGGTGGAATTTCTCAGCCACTCAGACACTGACTGCTTATTTCGCTCATGATGTGTCTTCCAGCTTATAAAAAAACATCATATGGACATGTTCAGAAGATAAAAACTTGATTTTGTCGTAGGCAGTCTCAAACTTCAGCTGCACTGACTGTTGACGCTCTCAGGTACTCATTGAGTTCAGGATATGGTATAAACATACCTAACTATTCTCTGTTACCTTCAGGACGGAGGTGGGCAAATACGCCATCTACTGCCAGCGCTCTATGGAGCGGACCCAGCAGAAAGGCGAGAGGCAGTCCAGGCCGTCCCGTATGGAGATCCTGTCTATCCTGCTGAGGAATCCATATCACCACTCCCTGCCCTTCAGCGTCCCCGTTCACTTCCTCAACAACACATACCAGGTAGCAACAATACACACCGGATGACAGCTATTGACTGGGTGAAATGCTAGCTCATGGAACCAGCTTGAATTTTGCTGATAGCTCTCACTTTATACTCCGTCATCACATACAGGGTATAATGTAAAACTACACTCTTGGGTGAAACCTGCAAAGCTAGTTGACGCTAACACTATGAGTCCTGCTGCTACACTGTCATATGTTGTGCCTGGCTCGTTCAGGGCATAACAAAAGAAGGTCCAGACAATGACATTAGGCTGACTAAGTCATTACTAAAAAGGTAAAATATAAGGGTAAATTCAAATAAATAATTGCATAACTAAGGTCAGAACCAAATAACCAAAACAAAACACCGGCCTTCATTATTCAGCTTACATGTAACCTTTCTACTGGGTGAATCCAGTCCCCTGACTGAGGAAACGCAGGGCCGTCACACACATCATAGCTTCAGGTTACACTTCACACACATGCAGCAGCTCACTGTGAAGAGTTCTGTCTGTTTACACTATCATTCGCATGCTCACTCTTTTGGCTTAACTGCTCCACCCAGTATCTGCCCAAGCACTGCAGGTTTTCCCGGGTGGGTGTTTGTTTTTGTCACTCAGTGCTTTCGTCTCTCTTTGCCTGTGTGTGCAGGAAGTGATGAGATCATAGCATTGGCAGCTAGTAGCACCTGTTGTCTCCTCACATTGATACGTAAACCTGTTTGCTGTTGACTGACAATCATGAAGACGATGTTGTAACTTTTTTCATTATCAAAATGCTTCAAAGAGAAAGGAAGGAGGCATCGCAGTACATACAGAGTATACTGTACAGTCTAAAAATGACTTTGCAGATGCATCACTACAGGTTTGTGTTAAAATATTTTTCCTACAATGATGTTATTTCAATTTAACATTCTTCTGGCGTTTGACCTTTTGATCCCAGAGTCCACCCTGTGGATGAAATGTCTCAGCAACTATCGGAGGGTTCACCATGAAATTTGTTGCAGACTTTCATGTTCCCATTAGGTTGCAGTGGAACAACTTCCCTGATCCCTAAACTTTTCCACTAGTTCAGTCTTCAGGTCAAAATGTGTCCAGTACTTGGCTTTATGACCAAAAACCAGCAAAACTACTGGAATTACTACCAGTTGTACTTTGTGTTTAGTGCTGACTAGTGTAGGTTAGCACATAAGCTAAAGTGGAAGTGCAAGGTAAACATTATACCTAATATACATTAGCATGTTAGCACGGGGTTTTCCTGGCTCAGAATGGGTCTTTTAGGGATGAGCATGTAAGTTTTTTTAGTCTGTGCACAGTAAAAGTAATGAGTTTGTTGCTTACATTTTCATTTTACATTTGATGAAGGAAAATGTCAATGATGCTTCAATAAATGAGACCCCAAATAACAAAACTGGTCAAAGAGATTTTTATTTATTTATTTATTTTATTATTTTATTTTTTTACATCTATTTAATGTTTTCAGTTCTTATTTTGAAAACCAGTAATTTTTGAAACCAGTGATTTTCCTTCAGTGCTGTCTAAAACCTCTTTTGTGGCCCCTAATATATCTGTGGGGTTGTCAAAAGTTCCTCTGTGCAGGATAAAGCCAGTAGCACTGTCATTTGCTTGCTGATGTTTACAGTTAGCTGACAGGAAAAATACTCCTTTCTACTTATATATGAGTTCATTTGTCAGTATAATTGTATAATAGTTTGTGTGTGTGTATCAGTCACTAGTTGTGACTGCCTTTAAAGTTTAGCAGCATTTGAAAAGCATGTCCTAGAAATGTTGAAGTGCGTCTGTTTTAGCTCACGTTTGATCTCGTTGTGATTCCTGACGTGTTTCAATTTCCGTAGGTGGTGAGCTTTGATGCTTCAACAACGGTCGACGAGTTCCAGTGTCGCCTCAACCAGGACACCAGCATGAGAAAAACAGGACTGTCTGGTTTCAGCTTGTACACCGATGACCCCACAGGACGAGAGCTGGAACACTGTCTGCAAGGAGGCATCAAGGTGCATCTTTTATTCATGTGACAATTACTTTTTGAAGATTGGAAGTGCTGCATTTCTCGGCGCTAATCTGTCTCATATCGTCTGCAGATTTGTGACATTATCTCCAAATGGGAGCAGGCGTCTAAAGAGCAGCACACCGGAAAGTCTGAGAACACCAGGACTGTCCGCCTCACCTACAAGAACAGGTAGAGGAGGACGCTGCAGCTGCAATGTCACAATAGATAAAAACATCTGTGTATACAAACATCAGGTTCAACCATTAATTCAGCTTTAGGATGTCATGACATTTTGAGAGTTTTATTTCAGTGAAGAAGGAACATCATAGTTTAATGTTGGATTCAGACCTTGTTCACACTCAGAATTATTGCACGCCCATAATCTGGGTAACGAAATGTTATTTAGAGCACAACTGCCCAATTTTACATGTCAGAGTCCATTTCCAAGTGTTGAGGAATACTAATACTAGTGTCATAGCATTTCTGGCAAGTCCGATCAACTGCATGAAGTCACTCAGTGAATCTCCTGAGTCAGCTGAAGACTAGTTTGAAAATGAAAACAATGAATAAAAGTGAATTTATGAGGCCTTTGTAATCTCTGCTTGAAACTCGAATTATCTTAATCTCCAAACCAACTGTCTAAGACTGAATTGCATTGTGGGTAGTGTAAACGTTGGGAAGAAGGAAGAATGCAAAACAATCCAAGTGAATTCAAGGGAGACCCCTTGACCCCCAGAGTGAGGGGATCTGGTGGCGTTGTTCTGCTGTGGGGGGCATGGTTTGGGTCCACTTGTCCCCTTCAAAGGAAGGGTCACTGCAAATCAATACAAAGTTGTTCTGACTGATCAACTTTATCCTGTGATGAAGCATTTAAATCCTGATGGGAGTGGTGTCTTCTCAGATGACAGTGCCTCCACCCATAGAGTGTGAGAGGTCAATGAATGGTTTGATAAAAATGGTGTGAATCATATGATGCAGCCTTCACAGTCACCAGAACGTGTTCGGTAGCGTTATCATCATTAAAACACCAAATAAGGGAATATATTTTGGAAGAATAGTGTTAGTTCCTCCAGTAGAGTTCCAGATATCCATCCATCTATTGTCTATACACTGCTGAATCCTCACTAGTGTGGTGTTAGGGCTGGAGTCTATCCCAGCCGACTCAGGGTGAAGGCAGTGGACACCCTAAGAAACACTTAGAGACAGACAACCAAGCACACCTACAGACAATGTAGAGTCACCATGTTTTTGGACTGTGGGAGGAAGCCGGAGAACCCGGTGAGAACCCACGCTGGATGGGGAGAATATGCAAACTCCACTCAGAAAGGGCGTCCTAACCGGAACGCATGTGGCAGCGAGGTGACAGTGCTAACCACTGAGCCACCATCCAGCCCGAGTTCCGGAAATTTGGAGAATTATTGTCATGGAGTAATGAAGCTGCTTTGGTGGCACATGCTGGTCCAACACCTTATGAAAACACTTTGTTGGTGTTGTCTTTCATATGTCACCTGCCTGTGTCTCTGCCTCTGCTGCATCGATTTCCGTCCTCTGATAAGTTGTCCATTGGGAGTCGAGTGGAAAATAAGTGGAATGCTTGTTTAATATTTGGTGGTACCACCTTTTGCTGCATATTTACCAAGGACACAGCTTCACACTGTTTACACAGAGAAAAGAGAGTGGCTTAGAGTATAAGTAGACTGTATGAAAAGATTATGATTGGTTGTCACACCTACTAAGAGTCACAATGACAGAAACAGGAATGGATAAATGAACCAGTGAAGTTTCTCTGCGTAAGAAAAAGATCATGAGAGTTTTGTTCATGTCCAGTATCGAATTAATTTTCTGAGGCCAGCAAGTATTTATATAACATTATTTCCCAAGTGCTCTGTCCCCCATCTCTGTATCTGTTTGTCTTCCCCCAGGCTGTACTTCTCTCTCCAGGTGAGGGGGGAGTCAGAGAGGGAGAGGTTGCTGCTGGCTTATCAGACCAACGAAGCCATTGTAGCAGGACACTTTCCTGTCAATAAGGAACTGGCTCTGGAAATGGCCGCCCTGCTCGCCCAGGTCGGAGATTGAACAGATATTTTTATCTTGTGCATCATGTGTGGTATGTTCTGACTGTAGTGCATGAAGCTGCGTGTTGTACAGAACAACCACAGTTAATAGTTTCATTCTGACACCACACTGCCATCTGTAATGCACATATAGTCTGCAATAAAAAGAAGACAACATTTGATGTGTTGCAATACTGTAGAGCAGACAATCTCTAAAAACAAACACATCTATATGTCCCACACGGTTCTTTCTGTATTCATGTAACTTGGGGATTGACCAGTGTGGTTTTTTAAGGTCAATACTGAATTTGATTATTTGATTATTTTAACATCCATCCATCTATACACGCTTAATCCTCACTAGGGTCATGGGGGGTTGGAGTCTATCCCAGCTGACTCAGGGTGAAGGCAGGGGACACCCTGGACAGGTCACCAGTCTATCACAGGGCCACACTTAGAGACAGACAACCAAGCACACTCACATTCACACCTACAGACAATTTAGAATCACCTCAACATGTTTTTGGACTTGTGGGAGGAAGCCGGAGAACCCGGAGGGCACCGGGATCTTTCTGCGTGGAGTTTGCATGTTCTCTCCGTGCAGTGAGGGTTCTCTCCAGCGACCTTCTTGCTGCGAGGCGACGGTGCTAACCAACTGCATCACCTTGCAGCCCTAATAACCAACATTTGCAGTAAAAATAAAAATCTTGGTGTCAAAATTTAGGTTAACACAAACAGCAATTTCACACTTTGTTTAAATTCCTTTGTTCATATTTTACATATGTTTGTTTAAAGTTTGTTAAAGGTTGTTTTCAACATTTATTCCTCATTTCTGACAGACTGTTACTGATGATATTCAGGCTCTGATGCAGCTGTGTCTCTGTCTGTAGACCCCACACTGTGGTATCGAGCAGTTTCCTGCCCACAGCACTACCTGTTTACACATCATCAGCAACAGTCTGTGGGCAGAACATTGCTCGATGCCACAGTGTGATGTCTACATTAAAGCAGAAAGTCTCTTCTGCAGTGTGAGAATGTGTACATTAGTGATCAAATGATTATCAGCCTCAACAATTATCAGATTTGACATTCAGGCTCTAATGCAGCTGTGTCTCTGTCAGTAGTCACCACACTACAGACTGTTACTGATGATGTGTAAACAGATTGCTGTGGGCAGGACATTGCTCGAGACCACAGTGTGGTGACTACAGACTGAGACACAGCTGCATCAGAGCCAGCATATCAAATCTGATAATTGTTCAGGGTGGCAATCAGTTGATCACTAATGTACACATTCTCAAACTAAAGAAGAGACTTTCTACTTTAATGCAGTGTCTATTCTTTTATTTCACGTTGAATGTGCTGAGAGCTGCAAGGTGGCACACTTGGTTAGCACCGTTGCCTCGCAGCAAGAAGGTCGCTAGTTGGCGTCCCAGTGGGGGCACTGGGATCTTTCTGCGTGGAGTTTGCATGTTCTCCCCGTGCAGCGTGGGTTCTCTCCGGGTTCTCCGGCTTCCTCCCACGAGTCCAAAAACATGTTGAGGTTAACTGGTGATTCTAAATTGTCCGTAGGTGTGAATGTGAGTGTGCTTGGTTGTCTGTCTCTAAGTGTAGCCCTGTGATAGACTGGTGACCTGTCCAGGGTGTCTCCTGCCTTCACCCTGAGTTAGCTGGGATAGACTCCAGCCCCCCATGACCCTAGTGAGGATTAAGCGGTGTATAGATGACGGATGGATGAATGTGCTGAAGTACAGAGTCTGAAGAACCCATAATGTGGAACTGTCCAGATGCTTACTGACTGGACTGAATTCACCGTATGTCTGTGTTTAGGTGGAGTTTGGAGATTTTGAACGTCCCTTCTCTGCATCTGGATCAGCCCAGACTAAGTCTAATCAAACCCTGAAGCAGGTTTTGGACAGATTCTATCCAAAACATTACCGCAGGACCACAGCCGAGGAGCAGCTCAGGTACAGAACACACTGAAAATTGGCTATACACCCATTTGGTACTTCCATGTGTATGAACCACATCTGTTTAGTTTTAATAATCTTTTGTCACAGTCATGAGCTTAAAATTTTCACCACAGCAAATTGCTTCTTGACAGTTAACCTCTTCATTTCCTATCAGACCTCTATGTAAAGTTTTTATCTATCTGTAGTTGCCACAAAATGACTCCCAGAATATGAGATAAAGCAATTTAGAGACTGGACACTAAAGACGGTTTGTGGTAGTCATGGTAATATGCTGGATGTATTCTCCTCCTCTCAGACAACTTCTGCAGCGTCTCTCTGCCCGATGGGCCTCGCTCAGGGGTCGAAGTTCGTCTGAGTGTGTCAGGATCTACCTGACTGTCGCGAGGAAGTGGCCGTTCTTCGGTGCCAAACTGTTTGAAGCAGAGGTGAGTGTGTGAACTGTAGTCTCACGTAAATTAAGTTTATTTAATCTTAAGATCATGTGTTGAATGTGCTCTCAAATTAAAACCGACATACAGTGTTGAACAAAAGAAACGCTGACACATAAACAAAATAAACTCGGTGTGAAGAAAAAAAGGAAAAGGTGTTTCTGAAAGTTTGTCCACCTCTGCCTTTACAGAGGACGTCACTGTTAAAGCATACAGTTTGTTCAGTACCAGCTGTGAGAAGATTGAATTACAGCTATTGTTGCAGTTGTGTTGACATTCATTTGTCGTGAACTCACCACCATTATAGTACTTTTTAATCAACTGTTTTTCTGAATTCCATCCAAAATGTATATTTGCCTCATGTGACCCCAGTTGGATCAAGATCAAGAGCAGCCACACTGGAATGTGCTGCTATGTACTGTTAGTGTTTGCTCTCAGAAAACTTCATCGTGACGATAATACATTAGGAATTGATCTCGTTTCTCTCTCTCTGTTTTCAGTCCATCACTCCCTCTCCAGAGCCGAGCGTACGTGTTTGGCTGGCAGTGCATGAAGATGGTATCAGCGTTCTGGAGCACAACTCCATTGTAAGCTGCTTTTTTACAGTCCCAGACAGCTGTCCAGGCGTGATTCCTTTGCTCTGCTGCCTCGATTCCTTGTCCCTGTTGATTCTCAAGCTTGTGTTTATAAAGCAGCAGCCTTGGAAATTAACATTTCTATGTGGGTTCTAAAATCTCCCGTCCAGTATCACGTAACTCCATTAATACAGGCTGACTAGCTTTATATCATGTTTGACATAGAAGTCACAAAAGTTGGTCAAAGATGCGTAAAACCAACTTGCTGTCACTTTCTCACACAGTAAAACTGAGGTCGTGTAAGAGGACACCAGAACCGATGTGGGTGGGGCTGTTATATTAGATGTTTAGCCGTCAAAAACTTTGATGTAGAATTTTATTTGTACGGTATGTTCACTGCCCTAAATATCTTGACATCTGTGTGCTCAGAAACTGCTGGTATCCCACTCCTACAAGAACCTGATGACCTTTGGAGGCTGCAAGCAGGACTTCATGCTGGTAGTGGGTCAGAACATCGGTACCAACGCCAGCAAAGACAAACCTACAGAGAAACATCTGTTTGCTATGGATGCCTCCAAGGTCAGTGAGAGAGAGCGGGCTGTGGTTGGACCTGAGCCTGATGTTTGACGGGGTGATGTTTATCTTATAATAAGAAACTCAAGTAAAGTTTTCCAGTATATGTGCTGGTGTGTGTGTGGATTTATGTCCTGTTATAGAATATTAAATATTAGTACAATAGTTATAGAAATAGATGACAAACTCAGAATAACATTGGATTAGATTTGCCAAATTTCACACAGTGTCCAGGGCACTGGGTTAATTTCAGAAAAGCATCTGTGTGTGTTTGTTTTTGTGAGCGTTTTGTTTGGCCGGTCGTCGTCATTTCTTCCAGTGAATTTTTGGGAGATAAAACACCAGGAAAGTTTATCAAAGCTGCAGATCAGTCGTAGTTTGTGGGATTCCTCTCATCCATAAACACGTGGAGATTTTCTAACAGGTTCAATGCTTTATTCCTTCACAGTTGGTTGCAGAATAACACGTACAGGAACACCAGAACCAGAACTAAACCCGCAACCCCCATTGCAAAATTGCGAAACAGTTTGTCTGATTTCTATCTGCCATCCTTTTTGCTGTTGTCCCTTTACCCTCAGCCTGATCAGTCTGAGGCAAACGGCTGCTCTGATGGATGTGGTTTACTTTATATCTTGTTTAGTAATGCAGATTATTGACCGCCAGGAAATAAGAGGAGCTGCAGCCTCTGGTGTCTGCATGTGTGTGATTAAGTTAGACAGAGTGAGACAGAGGAGAAGAGAAGATGGACTGATGACCACAGCATGTAATGTTTCTGTAAGCTATTTGGAGCTCAGTCGAAATGCTGCTCTGTCACTTTTTCACTCTACCCACTTGAACCTTGATGTTTGTTTTTTTTTAGCAAGCTTATCTGAATCCACATAACCCACTCATCACTAACCACTAGGTTCCCAAAATCATGTTGTCTTTCTGCCTTCATCCTCTAGCTGTTGGGTTTCCAGAGAATCAGTCTAACACATGTCAACTGGTGGGCAGTAAATCAAAATGCAGCCAGCCAGTCGATTCCTTGGTGTGACGCAGTGATCCACAGTGATAACCAAGTGGGACATAATGGGCATAATGGCTCTATCCCACTCCTTTTAGATGTCCTGCTGGATTAATTTCATTCATTCCATATCAATCGGCGTCTGACATCACAAGTACAGTAAATATAACAAAACAATGCAATGTCAGCCACGCAGCTGCAGGTGGACAGGCTAACCATCCGCTTCCTGACTCTTTGTTTGACTACTGAGAAGTTTAAGAATCAGATTGAGGAACAAGTGTGTGAAGCTGAAACTCTGCAGATGGCAGAAGTTGCTGCTAATTCCCACTTTGTGACAATTTAGCTTAAAAATGGAAGAAATAAAGATATTGGTCAACAGTAGCTTCCTCCTGAAACCATCAGTAATACTGGCATAGAAATATCAAAGGTCAGCTGAAGCAAGGCATGACATGGATTTTTAAGTGAATTTAAACTCCGCTCTGTCTGTTTTGTTTGGTCAACAGATCAGGGAGATCACCCTCCTCATCTCCAGTTACATCAACAGTGCTCATCAGCAGAAGGCCGCTGCCCACCACCTCTCCGCCCCGGCTCTGATGGTGGCCCAACCCATCACTCTGAAGAGCAAAGAGCTGAGGAGCAAATCGCCACCAGCGCTGGGACGCCCCAGCAAAGCCCCCACACTTCTGTGACGGCACAAAAACACACACCCAGATCTTCTTTAATGTAGAAAACGTAGGATTTGTTTCCACCTGCATTTGGAGCGATTTTATTGGACTCGTCGGCCTTTGCAGTCGGATCCTGTAGATTTGTCTCATTTAGCCAGATCACCTCTGGAAGTGACAGATGGAACGGGAAGGACTAGAACTCTCTGATCAGCTTGGTGTAGTTTAATATCACAGAGCTGCTGAGGTTGCAGCAATTTGCTGATATCACCGTAGAGTGCCTTTGTACCTTCCTCAGAGAACACTTCATGAGATTTACTGAGACTGGAGCTGTAAGCTTCATAAAGCCGAACAAAGGGGCCTAGAAGCAGCTGAGAGACTCTGCTTAACACTCTATGAACACTTTCAGTTTACCTGATGAGCGTTTTTTTGTGACACCAAAGAGAAAAGTCAACACCTTTTATTGACCGACTTTGCTGCAGTTCTAAAATGTCTCAAGTACATTTTTATATTCCAGCCTTAAAATAAAACAATGCGGTCGTACACACTATAGACGCAGTAATGATGCTTTGTTGACAAATAATTTAGAGGGTATTTTTGGTGTCTTTCCTGGAGGGCACACCAACTGAAACAGTGTTAGTCTTGTATAATGAAGAGAACCATGATGAAAGCAGGAGGCAACAGCAAGAAGTGCAGCAGAGGAAAAACGGTTTGCAATGTGTCTAAACGTGCACTTCTGTGTATGCTCTTTTTGCAAGACGTGATGGAAGAGCCGTGTAAGTTGGTTGTGCTATGAGCTTATAAGAGGGAACCCGGTTTGGACCCTGCGTGCTCGTAGTTACTGAACAGCCAGGAGAGAAGTAAAACTTTAATCATATACAAATATTAAGGCTTCTCTGGTGGAGTGAATGATGAGAATCAGGGAGGTGCCTCCACTCTATAAGTGACATGATGGTGTTTAAGCTAAGTAGTGCATGGTTAGGTAAGGACACACATTTCTCTATAGTTGTAGAGTTCACTTTTTTAAAGCTGTTCAGACAGTTCTGTTTCCTGACGCAGCACAGCCCAGTGGTTAATCTTACATCCGAAATGCAACCAAGTCTGTCAATCATCATAGGGACCTAAAAATACTTTGAACTATTGTCTGAGAAGTCTCTTATGTTTTATTTAGCATAAACCAAGATTCCATTACTGCGTGGATAATGTAGCAGAAATAGATGTGAAATGCTTCTCCATGTTCCAATGAGCTGGAGGATTTTTACATCTTTGTATTGCGTAATACTAGTAATGCAAAACTCTACATATTCATGACACATAAATGTTTCAGACCGCTGCTCAGATGGAAATTCAGCACTTTTAGTCAAGCCTGTCTTGTGTCATCTGGTCAGATCACGTGTTGTTCCCTCTTTTTCTGAGTAATCAAGTTTCATCCCTTATACACCACAATCACCACAACGTGACCGACATCTGATCATGTGGATGTTGGTCTGAAGCTCCCCACCCGCTGTGGGGTTGACAAACAGAAAGGTGGAAGTAAAAATGATTCCAAGAGATGGTGAAATGGAACTTTGTCTATACAGCAGCAAGTAAACGTGCAGAATGGAGTGCAGAGAGTTTTTGTGACGGTTGAGTTTTAAGTGAAAAAACAGAAGGGAGTGTGAAAGGTGTGGTCGCTGTGACTGCGTATTTAGTCGACGCAAAGAATTCAAGTCCTGTTGTGAAGAGTTTTGAAAACGTGAACTCAGTTTTGGGAAATGTGTGTCAACAAAAGAAAGTAAGATGGTGAGAGGATGTAAGAACAGGTTGCTGAAATGTATGATGGCTGCTGAAAAGGGTTACAGAGAAACACGATGCTCCGTCTGTTACCTGCGTGACACAGATTATGAAACAGAACCTGTTTTTTTGACCCATTTAACCTGAAGATGAACTGGACTGTTTTTTTTGTTTTTTTTTTTAATGTAAGGTACTTTTTAAAAAAAAAGATGATTTTCCCTTCTAGTATTACCATAAGCCTGTATTCAGTGAGACTTGTCAGGTTCTATTTATTTGCCATATGACACACATTGTATTTAAATCATCTTTGGAGGAAGCGTCGGCTTCAATAAACTCAACTACAGCAAAGAAGTCATCGGTTTCACTGCCATGTATTGAAATGAGCCATTATCTGTGAGAGGCTGTTCAGATCTATAGAAACCACAACATTCAGACTCATTGTTTCCTTCCTCACTGCCTCGGCCCACAAAACTGCCCTCCGTCCTCCTCATTGGTGCAACAACAAGTGACGTGCTGATACCTGCAACAGGTGCCCGGCAGCAACTGACACTCCCTCATTCCTGTAGTCTTCCACAGAGGAGAGAGACGGGGGAGGGGTGTGGGGGGGAGGAGGACATATGATACCTAACCTGTCTGAACTAGTTCGAGGCATGCTTTTGTACCCGCGTTGCCATGGAGATGAAGGGAGGGAGGGAGGGAGGGCTCGCTGGGGACACAAAGTGGGCGAGGCAGAGGGGAACTGAGGCACCATAGACAAATATGAAATGGGGATAATTTGCATTATCAAATCTGTAGGAGTGGAGAAGAATCAGTGGGAGGAAATCAAAAGCACTGCGGACTTGGATCAAAACGCAAACATTTAATATGTTTGGATAAATTGCTCGTCATCGTGCTATTTTCGTCATTGCGTTGCCCTTCAGTCGGGCTTCACTCTGATATCCGGTTTAAACGAGGACTGCTTCCACAAGTGCTGCCTTCAGAAAACTGCTAAAACAAAACAGTGCACATTGTGATCATGTTGTGACAGGAACCCAGGGGAATGTTTTTACCGCCATAGTTTCACCTTAAAGTCTGCTCAGACCAACACACAACACCCATTTCCCAACTTTGCTTTACTCCATGCTGGACTTTGACTTTTCACCTGACTGGTGAACAATCACTTTAAGTCCTTTTAAACTGAGTATTTGTTGTGTACATACTGCAGGCATTCGTGTATGTGAAAGAACCAGAACCTGCCTAACAGGTTGAACCACCAGCTCCAGAGATACAGCTGGGAAATGACTAACCACCTGCTTGTACACTGACTGGTTTGTCACACATTGAGGAAGTCTCCACGAATGAGTGTCACCAAAACATCAAAGAAACTCAGATTACTGTGGTTTTTGTGCCAGTATTTCTTCATACATCCATGCAGGCTGGTGTTGTGTTTTCTGTAGAATACATGCTTAAAAAGTGACCCATGAAAAGCAGGGATTCAAGTTTCCCCTACAGAGGACAGTGTCACATTCAAAGCATACCTGCCACACCCATTCAAAACCTCATCTGGACAGAAAACCGCCACCAGACCTGCCCTGTTGACACAAACAGGGCAGAAAGCAAGCAAGCAGCCATCTTATAAATAAGAGATTAAAGGAGGTTTGAGAAAATGTGCTTGAATACGAGCATAAAAAGTGCACAACTTCAACATTGTAATCAAAAGCACAACATGCAAAATGGTTCCCGCAGTGACTTCCTGTCGCTTGGGCCCTTCCTCATAACCTGTTGTACTCAGACAACACACGCACCGACAAACCTTTATGAAATGGAAAAAAAACCCTGCTCCACACAGAAAGTCTTTGAAAACATATTTTATTAAAAACAATCCAACAAACACATGAGTAAGTAAGAAACTGTACAACCTAGCTTTGAATTTAAACCATTCAACAGGTACTAACATTAAAATGCGGCACGTGTCAGGCACACTTTAAAAAGCACAGTTCTTCGTGGCGTATCGATTGGATGATGTGTTACGAATTTACACAATTTATAAATAAATGGCGGTTCCAGTAGTGCCAATAACAACATCCAAAAAAAAAAAGGAAGAAGCAAGTTGATCTTTAAAACGTGTATTCCTCAAGTATAAAGACAAAAAAAATGGCACTCCCACTGCAAAAACGTTCATCCAAAACGGTGATGTACAAGCTGAATCTTCAGACTCCTGGTTTACATGTTGTCCATCTCTCTTTGCTGCATTTTAAGAAACAAACAAAAAAAAAGGTTATTTAACAGCCGTTCTCTGGTGCAACAATTTACTTCTACATACATGAACTCATACATGAAGTTATAGGAAAGTCATCTCACCGGGGTTTTGTTGTACCGCTGTCGCTTTCTGGCAAAGAACTACACACACACAAAAAAAAAGGAAATTAGAACTGATTGACGAGATATCTACATGATATTTAAACCCAAGAGACACGAACTTACCAGGACCAGCAGGCCAGCAAGCACGGCCAGCACCACCACCACGATGACGGCGATGATGCCACCAGACAGGTTCTTCATGGTGAAAGTTGGGTTCTTCTCATCCACATAGTACACCAGGATGTTCTCCATCTCCAGCTTCTGGGTGCCCACGGTGGGCTCAAACCTCTCCTGGTTATTGAACAGAGGCAGCACTTTCACCTGCAGGGAGGGGGAAATGACAGGGTCAGTCAAAGGGCCTCACTGTCTTTTATTGTGTATGCACTAAAAACAACAAATGTCTTGAACATACATCTTTCTCCATGTAGTAGGCCATTTTGCCCAGGTCAGTCTTGCGTTCCTCCTTTGGCTTCTTCACATCCACCACAACCAGACGAGCATCAGCGTCGTACTGCAGAATGACAGATTTTGTTAGTGGTGTGTTTTTGCGATGCTTACCGCAAACATATTTTTATGCGTTTACATTTTTATGTGACAAAACTGCATGTTTTTCCCCTTGGACTGGATTTTAACTCACCTCAACGTTGTCCACCATGGTCTTGTCAAAGTTATCGTAACGCTTATTAATGGCATCCGCAATGGCACTGTTGTTAGGGCACAAAAGTACAATTATTAAAACATGGTTGTGTTATTATTCAGTTTTTTTAGCATAAGGCTGTTAAGATATACTTACGTCTTCAGTTTGGTTTCATCCACTGAACCTGTCACTGGTTTGTGTTTCAGCTGAAGACGGACCCAGCTGGAAACAAAAGAAATGAGATAAATCAGCGTTGAACGTGTAAACTATTCACCCTAATGTCAGTGCGACACATCGGCAAAAGTACTCACTAGGTCTCCACCAGCTCGTCACACTTGATGTTCTTGTCTCCCTTGTCAGTACGGCGAACGCCAGCGCTGTTGACACACCAGCACTCCTCGGTGTTGTTGCACTGCTTGGCCTTGAATTTGCCGTCGTTCTCACACTCGGGGTCGTAGATGCCGTCGTTGTCCACAAAGGCCGCCTCGACTGGCTTTCCTCCCGTGCGAGTGCTCAGGCCTTTCATGGCTCTGTACATCTCAGCTTTCATCAGGAAGCACTTGGGGATCACTGAGGGAGAAACAAAAGACGCATCATGAGTTAAACTACTCTTCATTGAAAGAAAATCAAGTGGCTCGTTCACAGCTGACATCTTGTACTTACATTTTGAGCAGTCCACAGCCTGTTTGACATTACTGCCCACCAGAAGGGTGCATGCACAGGACGGCTTCGTACCCTCACAGGTGGCCCACTTCATAGTGTCACACGTACCTAAGCAGAGACAGAGTTGGTCAGTCACAATAAAACTCCTCATCACTTCAACATCACTGCGCTGTGAAGGCTTGATGTTAACAGCGTATCACATAAAAGGCCTTCCAGTAGAATTTCATCAGAAAAACATTTGCAAAAGACATGGACAGGCTGGTGTGATCCCGTTTCATAAAGGATTTATTGTGTTGTTGGGTTTACAGCTCTATGAACAAAAGGGGCCCAGTCCAGCAGGTAGACTGGCAGGTTTACCGAACACCTGGGCGTTGGTTTCTCCAAACACACACGTCCCCAAAGAGCGGGACAAGTCCTCCCCACCCCCACCCAACAACACACCTAGCTGTGGTTAACACACACACACTAACACAGCTGCTAAAGCTACTTTATCCATTTCTCGAGGTTAATAAAGTCATTTTATCAACAATAAAACTACAAAAACTACAAAATCACGCATGACGCATTCAAGTACGTCCACTTCTGCTGGAACGGAAGTGCTTGTAAACAGGTGTGAACATCAGGAATTCTTAGTGACACACGAAACTGCGTTTTTAATAAAGAATTAACAGTTCAAACTACTTACAGGCCTCAACAGATGCTCCCACCGCGAAGGCAGCGAGGACCACAAGAATCCACAGTTTCATGATGAAATTAGTAAAAACCCTCGAAGGAATTAATGAAGAAAAACGTCTCCTTTGTCCGCTTTCTATCCGTCCGTCGTCCGCAGAGGTCAAAGATGGAGTGCTCACTGAGTCCTTCTTCTTCTTCTTCTTCTTCAGGTGTGTCCTGGTCAAACCTGTTTGAGGCGCGCGCACACAAAGGTAAGCACTGAAACGAGCGCGAGCACGACGAGTAAAAGTTGTGTCCCTGAGCAGAGCTGATTATTGATGATATCGGCTCTGATAATCGATGTCCAACTGACAAGAGAGGAGTTAGCAGGTACTTTTATAAAACAGGTTGTCTCATGACGTCAGTTCAATTTGCATAGGGGGGGTGACGAGGGGAGGGGGCGGAGCCAAACGCACCTTTTTCCGGTGTGACCATATTTGCTCTGTCGGTCTGCGTTTCAGTCTCTGTTGACATATTTGCTTGTTTCAGTTCTGCAAAGTATCTACATAGCTGGCATAGTATTGGCTCAAATAGACACTAATGTAAAAATAAAAAATAAATAAAATAAATCTCAGCTACAGTACAACAGTGGCTCATTTTCAAAAGACATATTCCTCAGATCAAGTATATGCAGGAGGATAGAACATTTTGAAACGAAATTGAGCGTTATAAGACAGGCAGCAGCAAAATATGTACATAAAGAAATACAGCCAAGAGAACTCCGGAACCAAGTTTGTTAAATAAAATAAAAATAAATATCACATAGTGGTGGGGGGTGGAACAAGACAGAAATCCAGTTAAAATTTGTACAAACTATCTTTTAATAAAATTAATGAAAATATAAAATTGTTGGAAACAAGGCAAAACAGGGTTGGACTTGTAAAATCAATTCCTAGAAGAAAATTAAAATAAATATAAAACTGTCAGAAGACTAGTAGAAAACAAGACAATACATTATAAAAACTTGTAAGATCAATTTGTAAAAAAAAAAAAAAAAGGGAAAAAAGTTCATGTTTAAAAAATAATAATAGTAGGATCATTAACAAAAACCAAGCTAACCAGATACCAAACCATCCGTGGCTTTATAAACATATAAAAGAACCTTCAAATCAATTCTATATTCCTTCGTATTGTCAAACTGTGTCTTATTCTATAGTTCTACTTGAAGGTCAACTATGATAGTGTGACACTGCAAGATGTTCCTTATCACAGTTTATTGCTGCTTTTAATATTTAAAGTCCGTCATATGCTCTGTTGTACCAATGTAATGTTCTTTAGGAATGTTAGCCATCACATACTGTTTGTTTTTTTGTTTGTTTATTTATTGTTTGTATGTCAGATATGTTAAAAGACAAATTAGAAGAAAACAAAACAAAGATAACCAATAAATGTAACAGTAAACTTATACAACAGATTCCTAATATACAATAAAAGTAGTCTGTAAAAGTTGTAGGCTGAAGCTACAGCATGTAAAGCAATAAATACAAACCAAACAACTACTATCCATAAAATACAGTGCCAATAACTGCTTTTAGAACATATATGTTGAGTTATATTTATTGTGTTAATTTGCTTAAGCTCATCAGTTAACATCTATATGATCAGGCTCCTGGCTGCTCTGTGGCTCGGCGGCTCCTCCCTGAGTTTCAGTGACATGAGGTCTGGAATTGTCTCGTGCCCTTATGTAAATTCTTATTTGGACAAACAGCTTTTTCTGTTTGTGGGATCAACATGTGGAACTCCTTAACTTGCAGAACTTAAACTGGATCTGGTCTGAGATCATTTGAAACCCAAAATGACACAGTTTCTAAAGAGAGATCAGTCCTGTTGTCACACACTTGTCTTATGGTGCTTCACTCCATCTCATATAGTTTGTGTCTTGCATTGTTGTGTCTGTATTTCCTGATTGAGCTGTGAGTTTTGTGTTTTTAATAGATGCATTTATTGTTAAGTTTGTGTTTTGTGCTGACCCTTCTGTGCTTGAGTTTATGTATTTTACAGCCCCACCTAGGGACAGACTTTGCAAATTAACTTTGGTTGTAAATATTTTGGCGTATGGACTCAGTTCCCAAATAAACATTTAATAAATATATCACTGTAGAGAGTGTATAGTCACTGGTATTGTAATAGTGTTTGTTTCCAGTATATAGTTAATATTGTACCGTTGTAAAATACCCTTTAGATATATTACTGTAGGTCCCACAGCGAGTTTTATCACATCGAAACCTTTTCCTTGTGTGCTTTTGTTCAAAACACTCCAATATGTGCACAACATGCACAGTGTATAAGTACATCTTGTTTATTATAACCTGAGAAACATTGTGACACGATGACATCACCGACTGTCCGAGCAGGTATCTGAGATGACAGAAACCAGAGGTTGGGAAAATATTTCTCAGGTGTGTGAGTCACGCTCTGCTGCATGACACAGCTGAGTCACCGCCTCAGGTCTCATCCATCTGAGAAATACTCTTCCTTCAGCTTTACTCATTAGCTGACGTCAATCTATAATCAAAACTGAGCATAGATTGAACTCAGGGAGCTTTAAAAGTGCTTATTTCACCGAAAGTGTTGGTACAAAATCATCAAGAATGAGTCCTTGCCAACAGGGGAAACACCCTGCAGTGCACCAGAGGAATGGCGGCTGCGCCCTAGTTTGCATATATAGCTACTAAGGAAGCGTAATGTGCCAGAAATGTTTTACTGGAATGTTTGATTTTGCAGCAACATGTAACACATAATGGCGATATTATTCCTGTTACTTGCAGTTTACCTGGTTAGCTTTTCTACCTAAATCCTCATGAGTAAATGGATTCAAACCACAATAATTGACTCTTTAAGTCATGAAACACAGTTTTAAAACTGACAATTATTGGCCATTTGCCACTTTAGACATCAGGAAAGATTCCATTATAAGTTGAACATATTAACATTTTGGGACATGCACCCTCTGTAACGTGGCCCTGCGACAGACTGGCAACCTGTCTAGGGTGTCCCCTTTCGCCCTAAGTCAGCTGGGATAGACTCCAGCCCCCCATGATCCTAGTGAGGATTGAGCGGTGTATAGATGATGGATGGACCCTCTCTAACTGTAAGAGGTCAATATTCTGGCACATACCTCCAACAAAACCACAACCATTTCTATCAGCATTAAATGACAACCAATTAGGATATGCTTTAGTTCAATAATAAGAGATTATATGGAGGCAAAAACCTAAAGTAAAGTCTTTTGGCAGTCAGACATCAAAGAGTGGAGTCCCAGATGAAGGTATTGGAAGAGGACAGGAGCCCCCAGAGTCTAAACGCTGAAGTGGAGATGGGAGGAGGAGGGATTCATGTTCAGCAGTCTGGGGGGGAGAGTGACTGAATTAGAGTTAAATAAAGAGGTCTAGGGGCTGATTGGCTTGGAGAACGCAGGCAGATCATTGGACGACAGGTGTGACGTTGAAATTGAAGTGATTTGGAAAAACCAACTTGATGAAGAGAATAGAGCAGCAGAGGAATGGAGACAGAAAGTGAGTGAGCTGATCTTCCTTTTGAACTTAAGCTTCATAACTGCTAGTAGGTGGATTCTTTTTACTTTTTGACAGAATAAACATGAGAGTAGTATCGATCTTCTCATATAACTCTGGGCAAGAAAGCACAGTTCAAGAAATGTCTAACTGTTCCTTTAAGGATACTTCAGTACAGTCTATCACAAGTCAGGGCAATGAAACGAGTATTTAAATCTGTGTGCAGATGTGGACATTTAACATTAAACATTGTAGATATTTGTTCGTCTTTTTTATGCTCTTTACTCTGAGTCTGGAATAAAAGCGCCGCTCACAATCCTACAGTAAAAATGTTAAACGAACAAACATAAGAGTTTACTTCACAACTGCTGTTGCGTGTGATAATTTGAGACGTACGTCCACATGATGTTACATTATGACAGGGCTGTTGCTAGAATTTGTTGAGAAAAGTTGTGGTGACAGGGCATATGATGGTTCACTGAAACATGTTGATTCATGCATTAGTTGTTTTCTTTTATTCACACTCATCTCACTGATTAGCAAATCTTAAGGCCAGAAGTGATTCAGGTGAAACAAGGCACATGTCTTCAGAAGGATACGCTTTAGTCGTGCTGAAACGTCAAAAACTATTTTACGTATTTCTTTTACTAGCTAAAGAGCTCACAAAGATTCTGTGCAAGGTGGTGCTGTGGTTAGCACAGTTGCCTCACAGCAAGAAGGTCGCCGGTTCACGTCCCGATGAGAACACCTGGGTTCTCTCTGGGTTCTCCGGCTTCCTCCCACAGTCCAAAAACATGTTGAGGTTAATTGGTGATTCTAAATTGTCTGTAGGTGTGAATGTGAGTGTGCTTGGTTGTCTGTCTCTAAGTGTGGCCCTGTGATAGACTGGCGACCTGTCCAGGGTGTCCCCTGTCTTCACCCTGAGTCAGCTGGGATAGACTCCAGCCCCCCCGTGACCCTAGTGAGGATTAAGTGGTGTATAGATAATGGATGGATGGATTTTGTGGTTACATGTGTGACTTGCACCTCTTTCCTCTCTAGTTCATCCACAAATGACAAATGTTCCAGGACAGTGTTTCCTAGGGTGGACAGTGGGTTTGTGTATGTATGTCTGCCCACCTCATTATTGTTTGTGTTTGCACTTGACTCTAAAGAGGCATGTGGGCGATACTACAACGCCCTGTTGGATGGAGTGTGTCAACTGCTTAAGACAGTATTCAGATTCCTAATTTTTTACATACTTGTGCATTTTCCCTTATCAGCTGACTCTCTACAAACCAAAGCACTGTTTCTTATACTATTTTAAATTAAACTCTAATTAAAGACATCCTGACACAGAACAATGCAGTGCAAGATACCTGTTTGTTTATGGTTCCACATTGTATCCTGCATGTCATGACAAAAACCAAGTCATGATATCCAAGAAACTGTCCATAGACCTCCACAATAAAACCGCACTGAATCATAGAACATGATGATGGTGCAAAAACATTTCTAAAGCTTTGAGTGTTCCCAGGAGTACGATGGCCTCAATAACTGAAACTGAAGAAGTTGGAAGTCACCAGGATCACCTTAGGGTTTGCCGTCCAGGAAAACTGAGTACCTGAGCCAAAAAGGCCTTAGATAGGGAGGTTACCAAGAACCCAACAGTCGCCCAACTCAGGGACAAGACTGGTGTCCCAAAAGTGACCCACCTAAAATACTGAACTGCATTGTCATTCTTTTTTTTTTTTAAGAAACCTGCTGTCTTCCTAAAAGGTAGCCTTGTTGCTTCCAAATTAACGAGGCACAAAGCTTGTGG